CTAGGATGACTGAAAGGGAAGTAGCCATCCTCTAGGTGAGGCTGTGTGTTACTGACTTTCACTATCTTGTTTATCACTGTCACAGAAAAGACAAAATCCAAAATTAGCAAGAGGCCATTAAATACACACAAGTGGAAAAACTAAGTGCTTCATCTATTCTTCCACAACAGCACAGCTGAGAAGATCAATGGCAACAAAACAACAATATATTTCTACTTTCTTTATGTGTGTGGTGCTGCTATATGACAGTCCTCATGTAGCAGAGGATATCTCGTGTAGTTTGAGTTGAGACTGAGCAATTCTACTGCTACTGGGAGAAAGCAAGGGTGAGAGGTGTCAGTAAAAATGTCTACAGACATCTTAAAGTTCTAAAACACAGCCAAGCCAATTTGTAAAATGGTTAAGAGCCAATGGAGTCTGAGGCCTGTTTTGTGATGGGCAAATTTGTCTTGAACTCCTGTCTTACATAAATCACTTAGCCTGACATCTCACAATACTGAGGGGTGCTATAATTATAAATGTGTGATATCGTCATGTCTCAGATAACACATAAAGATACCTCTAGCATTGAAACATGAAATAATAAGAGTAACTGATGTTATTAAATAAGAAAAGTTAAGTTTATTTTATCAACATTATAAATATTTTCTTTCTCTCCGTTTTACTCCAAAATGAGATAGTAAAACCAGTACAATGGAACAATTCAGGAGCTCTTCAGTTCTATTGAAAAGGATTCCCTTTAATAACAAATCAAAATGAAAAATGACATTTTGTCAGTCCAGCAACCTCAGTAGCTGAGCATCCCGAGGTACTTTGTCATTCAAATGGCACAATTCTAAGTGTGTGCCCATATGTGTGTGTGCATCTATATATATGCATACTGATATTTACATATATACATAAATAGGCACAACCACTGAACAGACACTTTTAGTAAATCAAGCTGTTTCACACGTAATTAAAGTGGGTTCCCAGCTGCACACTGAAATTTGGGCCCTGCACAGTGGAGACACAATGATACTGTACTAAGCTAGAATCCAAGTGCTCAAGAGATTCAATACATATGTGTCACCTTTACATGCTGCACAGTCTGCCTGCTTCTAGTGGCTGCCCAAAACTGAGAATCCCATCGCACTTGAAAACAAATAAGGAATAATGCTGCAGCATCCTGGCCCCGAACTCCTTCCCTCAGTAAATAAAATTCTGATATCCCTGGCCATGTGTGAGCCATCGCAAAAAAAAAATATACATGCTCAGTTAGCTACAAATACATCGGCAGTATCTAATGCATTATGTGTGCAGTACTTTGAGACACCTTGAATATTAAAGGCACTACAGACAGCTAGCTCCTGTCCAGTGCTGAGGTTTATTTTCATCACACAGTGGCTGCCTCCCACAGAGCACACGGCACAGGCAGCTCACCAGAGGTGTAACAGGCTCACTCTGATCATAGCACCATCTCCAGCTGCCAGGGAAAAAGGCAAGCCAGACTCTCTTGCATGCCTTAAGCTCCTTTGAGCAGTCTGAATGGCACAAAAGAACTCAAGAAATCTGCCCAACCTGCCAAGCTGCTCCAGAGCAGCCCTGCTTCTGCCACCCCCCAAGCACGAAGGATGTCTCTCCAAGAGGAAAAACACAGGGGACAGAGAGGGCCCAGAACCAGCTCCCTTATTCACATGTGGTCTCTGGAAGCTAACTGTGAATACAGCAGAGCTTTATTGCTCCGCTGCTTCATGAGACTAAAGGACCAGGGAGCTGCAATGGGCTCTGCAACCATCCTCTGCTCAGGCACCAGTCTGCCCTCAGCAGAATGAAGCCCCTGGTGTTATTGAAGCTTCCTCCTTTCTCAAATCAGTAAAACAAAATGATAAAACTGATACTAATATAACTCTTATTTCTGTCCAATATATAGAAATATTACAGTAATATCTTTCCTCACACCTGGGAAACGATGCAAGGCCTACCATGAAACCACAGCAGGAGGTTCTTCCTTGTGGAAATTTCACATACACCGAAATTATACTCTGATTTTTTTTTTTATTTTAACCATTGCCAAATTCTGGCTTAATATATACATGTACTGACCTTCACCATAAGCCACTGGATGATTATCAAGGGAAGGAATTTGGCTTTCATATTTTATTTTTTAAACAAGAGAGGTAAAGACAGAAAATAAGACAAAATACATTTCATGTCACCATTGATCTGTAGATTACAAATATATATTGTTTCCTTCCAGAGGAAGAAATACTAAAGAAATAATTTGCTCATATCAAATGAACTTTTGAAAACAGGAAAAAAAAAATTAATACAAAATATATTTTTCAGCTCCTCCTCCTCTGTCACTGCAATGACTCTTAGCACATTTGTTTTGTTAAAAAAAAAAAAAAAAAAAGAAAAGAAAAAAAGAAGGAAAGGAAAGGAAAGGAAAGGAAAGGAAAGGAAAGGAAAGGAAAGGAAAGGAAAGGAAAGGAAAGGAAAGGAAAGGAAAGGAAAGGAAAGGAAAGGAAAGGAAAGGAAAGGAAAGGAAAGGAAAGGAAAGGAAAGGAAAGGAAAGGAAAGGAAAGGAAAGGAAAGGAAAGGAAAGGAAAGGAAAGGAAAGGAAAGGAAAGGAAAGGAAAGGAAAGGAAAGGAAAGGAAAGGAAAGGAAAGGAAAGGAAAGGAAAGGAAAGGAAAGGAAAGGAAAGGAAAGGAAAGGAAAGGAAAGGAAAGGAAAGGAAAGGAAAGGAAAGGAAAGGAAAGGAAAGGAAAGGAAAGGAAAGGAAAGGAAAGGAAAGGAAAGGAAAGGAAAGGAAAGGAAAGGAAAGGAAAGGAAAGGAAAGGAAAGGAAAGGAAAGGAAAGGAAAGGAAAGGAAAGGAAAGGAAAGGAAAGGAAAGGAAAGGAAAGGAAAGGAAAGGAAAGGAAAGGAAAGGAAAGGAAAGGAAAGGAAAGGAAAGGAAAGGAAAGGAAAGGAAAGGAAAGGAAAGGAAAGGAAAGGAAAGAAAAGAAAAGAAAAGAAAAGAAAAGAAAAGAAAAGAAAAGAAAGAAAGAAAAGAAAAGAAAAGAAAAGAAAAGAAAAGAAAAGAAAAGAAAAGAAAAGAAAAGAAAAGAAAAGAAAAGAAAAGAAAAGAAAAGAAAAGAAAAGAAAAGAAAAGAAAAGAAAAGAAAAGAAAAGAAAAGAAAAGAAAAGAAAAGAAAAGAAAAGAAAAGAAAAGAAAAGAAAAGAAAAGAAAAGAAAAGAAAAGAAAAGAAAAGAAAAGAAAAGAAAAGAAAAGAAAAGAAAAGAAAAGAAAAGAAAAGAAAAGAAAAGAAAAGAAAAGAAAAGAAAAGAAAAGAAAAGAAAAGGATAATTGCATTCATTTCATTTCTACAACCTCTACCAAGGAAAAAATGCCAACTTATCTGACTAATGACCTGAGTTAATTTCATTATTTCCAAACTGCATGTAATCCCAATGATCACCATCTACCAGAGATCTACACCTAGCAAGGTGCATGAAAACAAACACCAGTGGACCTTTCAAAACTAGGAACAAAGCAAAATACAAAAATCTATTGCAAGAATTGTGCCCAAAGTAGGCTGTGAGCATCTTCATGGGAACTGGTCAGACAAAGTGGAAGATCTGCTGTTTGTGGCAGATGAGTTGTCTGCAGTGATTGAAAACCTGAAGGTGAATATTTTACATATGCATGTGTGTTTGCTTTCTCTTCTTTTGTAGTTATAATCTTTGAGGTAAGACAGAGAACAGAGAGTACTTGAAATATGACTGGCTCTTACAGCAGCTATTCAACTTTACAAGCCTATATTGGGTAATGAGGCAAAGAGCTGCTGCTTGCCTTTCTCCAGTGGAACAGCTTCTCAGAAAATTTTACACCTTGGGGAATCAGATAGTTTAGAGGCTCAGCCAGAGATGGCTTCCGCTTTCCAGTGTGACCAGGGGTGGTGCTCATTTGTTTGTTTTTAGCAGCAAGCCTAGACTGACCACTGATGTCCTAGGTCTCCTTCCTACCTCTAGCCATAATGCAAAAGGGACTGGGTCCATAAGACAGAACCATCAGAACCCCCTCTGTCTTGCACAGATCTCTCCTCAGTGTAAAACCTATATTTTTGAAAGTAAAAATAGCTATCTGGCAGGCCTGAAAGCAGAGCAGAATCAGGTCAGAAACCCTACTGGCAACTTTCTGGTCTGCCGTCCAACGCGGTGTATCCCATATAACTCCTTTCCATATAAAAGACCATCTCATGAGGCTACCATAACCATATAACCAGCAACAATGAGCAGGTTGGGTTTTGTCACTGCTGTAAATCTAACTGTGCCCTACACCCTGGGAAACAAGACAATAGGCAGAGTCCTCTCCAAAAGTGAGAAAACTCTCTGGTGATTGAGCACTAAGGACTCTGCTTCTGAGAGGCTGGCAAGGGAGGGAATGAAGCCAGTAAATACTGGGTTTTTCCAAAGGGCATCCAGAGCTCCTCAGATTTTTCTGCTACTGCCTGACCATTTGTGAAGATTCATCACAGAGATAACAGGTACTATTTAACCGATGAGAAGTGAGGGAAATGAGAGAATAAAAGGAATGCAGGAAACTGTAGGGATGCAGGAGGGCATGGTTGGGTGTTTTAATGTCCCAGAAAGTTTGGTTCTCCAATGCCCTTTTTTCCCCTTTCCTTTTATTTTTTTTTCCTTTTGTTGTTTTGTTGTGGTTTCTTTAAATAAATTGCACAGATGAACATGGGAGAAGTTCATGCTACTTGCTGGAAGCAATAAAGGTAAATTTCCGTGGCCCATGGATTCCACAGACCTTTGAGTGTCCTGCCTCATCTATCATGGGCTAACTTATGGAACCTAACTGTTCCGTGGCAAGACTCAGTAGCCCTTAGAAACTGTTGGCATGTCCTCAGATATTTTCCACGAGAGTGAGAGACACATTGATTCCATCAGCTTCTTTCTCACACAATGCCCAAGTGCCTCAGGTGCAGCCTTGCCATTTTCAAGGGTCCTCTTTGATGTTTTCAGACATCAGACTGCTGTCTCCAGATCCTCGTGGGGAACCATTTGGTAGTTTTGTCGACTTTCCAGGTAGGCTGCCAGATCTGGGTCACCAGCTTGCTGAGCCCTGTCACGAGGGGTCTTACCCTATAATAAAGAAAGATGAAGAGAAAGTCTTGTGCTAACATATTTAGAAGAACAGATGAAAGCACGACCCGTAGAAATTATTACAGGAAGGTTAAAAGAAAAATTGGAAACTTTACTTATTTGCTATACAAGGTGGTGTTATATCAAGTTTTTCTATCAGAGTAATGAGATTCATGAAGATTGTCCTCATGTAGTTTGGGACAAACTGTGCAATTCTGCAAGGACACGCTGCTTGATACATCACACAGAAGGGCTCACATGCTGGAAGGGACTGATTTTTCATTCTAGGCCTACAATCCCTACGTGAATGAACATGACACACAGTGCTGTAGCTAACACTTTAAAAGTGCACTTCACAGACTACACACTTAGCGAATCAGGTGCAGAGAGAGATGCCCAGCATTTGAGATTATTTCAATGTATCTCATTTTATCTTGAGTACAAATAGTTCTTCAGTGCAGCAATTTTCTACTCTATAATCTAAGCTACCTCACAAGTACTGTTAAGTTGGGGATCACAATCTTGATCCTAAACTACAAAAAAAATACTGGAAACACATTAATGTGTATCCACGAAAACACTCCCACTCCTTGGGTTTCTGGGCAGAAGATTAACAAATCAGAATCCACTTGTCTGAATTTCTGCTGTTGCAAAAATCATCTTTTGCAATGTACAGTACTCTTACCTGAAAGAGAGATGATCTCTCTCCCCCTTGTAAGCTACCCCATACAGCTTAACATGGTAGGAATTGGTTTTAATTGTGTTGCTGCAGTGAAGGTGCTTCTAACTCTGGAGCCCAGAGATGCAGCCACATCTGAGCTTACCGCAGGATGCATACATTCAGAAATGCCAGAGGGCCAGCTTCTGCCCACATTCCTTAGTGGTCAGATTGTTTCATTGACAGAATATTCCTAGGATTTTATATTGCCCAGACTTCTTTCTCAGCCAAGCATATAACCGAGAGAGATGTGACTAGTGTCACATCAGTGAGCATAGGGGCAAACCAGGGCAAAAGAAAATGGTTACCTATCCTCAAAAAGTGAGTCAGCCACAATAATCAAGCCACAATAATCACAGAAGCTATGCAATCACAAACCAAGGCTCCCACAGGTGGTCCTTGCCCACAGGCCTCTCTTTTGACCACACAGGAAGAGGATGCTGCTGTGCTTTATTCACACCCAGTGCCCCGATTAGTTTGAGGCAAGGCTCTCACTATGGTGAAGATGACCCATCTTTGGGACTTAACTGAAGTCTCTTATATTTGTTTAAATCAATACAGTTTTCTAAATAAAAATAGCTTGTTTCAAAAGAGCTGCTTCTGGCACACACAAGGAAGACTCAATCATGCAAACAGCAGGGACAGATGCTGATCCGTCTCACTTGGCTGCAGTACTTTATAACTGGTTGATGGGGTTGGGTTACCTTGGAGTCAGTCTTTCTCAGAGAGGCTCCCGCGTCCACCAGGAGCTGGCAGATGGCACGATGGCGCTGGCAGGCTGCCTTATGTAATGCTGTCTCACCCCTAGACCAAAGTAAACAGAAACCAACAGTGAGACACATCACAGCAATGCACATTTATGAAGTATGAGATGCAGGGGACAGACAGAGTAGGATGCTGTATTTCTGCGAGGTTCCTTCTTGCTGGCAGGGGTAGTCTTGTGCGCTCTCCCTTAGCATCTACATCTTTTGTAGGAAAGTCTGCAATGCACAAATAGTAGATGAAGAACTTCTGAGGGGTGGGAAAGAAACATGCACAGGTTTTATGTTTTCAAAGGACTGAACAGCACATTCCCATCCAAACACCAGTTCTACTAAGTGCTGAGAAGGTGAACTAGCCACCTTCTTATTTCACAGCAGGCCAAACAGCAATAGTGTTTGTTTTTTCCTACAGTTTCTTTCCTCAAACTCATTCTTGGCGTATCCTAGAAAAACCCTGCCCGTAAGAGCCATGACTGGTGCACTTGCTGCCCTGCTTCTGATACCCTGCTCTCTTGGTTGTATAAGAGCAAGAGCTGGGTTTTTGTTTCCCATTGCCAGACTGCTGAGTTACCAGAGAAGCTTGAATGCACGTTTTTTCCAAAGAGAAGGCTGTGTAGTGAGAACAGATTTCTTGCAAAGTTCATTATTCAGACTGAGGCTACATGTAACAGGATTCTGTGACTGACACCAGTACTGAAATTAAAGAAATCAATCCATATTTGCCTAGGAAGTGGGGAAAGTATGCTTTGAGTGGGTTGAAAAAGTGTCTTTAATACTAGTGTTCAATAAGCAGGGCCACTACGTCACCTCCAAATAACACATGATAGAAAATACATGTAGTAGGACAAGTCTTGCACCTACCTACCCAGAAAGTGAGAGTGTATAAAGGAATTTCAACCTCAGTATGTAGCAAGATAAGATGAAATACTAATAGGCAAACTTGGGATGAATCTGCCTCTGTTGCATGATAACTACATTCAGAATGGGATACTATCTGATTACCCCCTAAGGATCAAAAGACAAATTCATGCTGCCAGTTACAGCTGGAAGCTTCTCTTTTCAAGAATTAGAGGGACCTTTGTAAAGGGAAGCCCTCATAGACGTGTTCATTTGTGCTTTACTTCAGTGGCTGTGCTATGCTACTGGATGAAGAGAAACAGGCAGTCCAACCAGACTCCATCACCCCTGCACTGCACAGTGTATCCCTTGTGCAGAACCTTTCTGGTGTTCTCTGTCAACAAAGGAGAGCACTATGAGATGAAAAATGGTAGGTTTAACCCCTGTGAGAAAGGTGACTTTTTCTTCCTGTATATTCCGTATACTTCCCACAATTATTCATGTTTCCTTTACATACTGTTTGTGACACTTTGATTATACAAGATGTAGAGCAGTTGTGAATTGGAAAGAAAAGGGGGTTTTGGATTGTATTTTTAAATAATATCCAAGGTGACTGAGGTTCTAACTCCTTTAGAGAAATCATCAGCTGCACAGGTTGTGGCCATCTGGGACAACTAAGGCAGAGCACCTTGGATGAATCAAGAAGGAACTGAAGAAAAGGTGTAGAGCAAGAAAAGTAATTTCCTGACTTCTGGCATTTGCTCTTCATGTTGGTCCCTGAGTAACATTGCAGCACAATGCAGGACTTGTATTCCTCTAGAAAGATCAAGGAGGCATGGGAAGCAATAGAGAGGAAGTCCTTTATTGAATTCAGGAAATATTAGTTTTAGATCAAAAACCCACATATCAGGTGGTTGTTGTTTGGGTTTAGGGGGACTCTTGTTTGCTTGTTTGTTTTTGAAGAGCAGTGCCATTTTACAAGCTTTTTTAGTGTAAAGTTTGCACTTAAAAACCAAGAAAGTTCTGGTAGGCTAATGCACATAATGTGAAGGGCAGGGTAGGCTATACTTACGTTTCACTGTCTGTCATGTCCAGTAATTCAGATGGACCTGCAAGAGACAGCCAGGTATGTCATATAGCATTTGACTGTATGACTAAAAGAGTACAACTACCAGGAGGAGACTCCTGGTGCAAATATGTAAAAGAAACCAACTGAAAGCTCAATTTTGCACAAATATGCCAAACTTCAAGGTAATATTTGCCTGTGCGAGGCCTTGTACTAGCAAAATTCTAAGTGCATAGTCACTGCCAGAGTGTTAGCACAAGGCAGTAGCAGCCTCTAAATTATACTGGAAATGAATATTCATGGAGTTTATTTTCTCATTCTTCACCTTTCTCAATTAAGTGGTTCACATAAGTACAGTGCATTGAAAATGCTGATATACTGGAAACCCTAATATATTGCAAGTTAAAATCTATTGTTAGTACGAGAGAGAAAATGTCATTAGGAAGTTGAAATTAGCCAAATTCCATCCTGAATGACATCCCTGTGCTGCTCCATTTAATGGAGTTATACAGAATGTAGATCAGGGTGGAATATTCCCAGCAGTCTTTATATTGATATGCAAATCCTGTAGCCTACTGGTTAGCAATGATTGGGAACATAAGATTAAGAAAAACTTAAGAGATATTTTGTTAAGTGGGACAAAATAATGCATTTATGCTAATGTTCTTTTGTCCTTGATATTCACTACAGGCAGATGTTTATAGCAGCAAGTTCCATCACTGAATTACAGTGATATGGAAACACTAAGATCTGGATAGCATTTGAAATGAGAAAAAACTTTCCCTTAGCAGTCTGTCTTAATCTTCTCTCCACTGCTCTGGAGCATAGTGCCAGATGGTATGGGACAGTTAGCAAGGGGAACAGTGAAACTTTACAGGAATTTTCCTTCCAATGCATGAACATTTCTTTTCAGCATGCTTTGACTTTGAAATTCAAGAGTCCTCAAGAGCTTACAGAAAATCTCACCTGAAACTGAGGACTTTCACACTACTTGCTTACGAAGTCCTACACACAATCTCTCTACACTCCTTTCACTTTCAGTGTGTGTCAAAATGGATTAGAACAGCCTGTCTCTCCCTCCTTCCTTTTACAGCATACACATGCAGTATCACTGGGGCAGCTGGCTGCCTCAGATCCTGCAGTTGCAGGTAGCTCCTTCTTCTGTCATCATGAGAAAAAGGTTATCTAAAAACTACCATGCTTAGTCCCAGTGCACAGAGTGTTACATACTTATCATGGCCGATAACTGAATGCATTAGATACTGCCAGGTTTTAAAGCACAGCACCCTGGCTCTATCACCACACATCCTCATCTCCACACTTGCCAGTTATGTGTTCATTCCTCTCTGTCAAAAAGAAGAATAACTCGCAACTCCTGAGCTCCCCTAAGTGTGAAGAAAAACACAAGGGGCTAAGCAGGGCCCCTTATGGAGAGGAAAGAAATGTAATGTCTGAGCAAATAAAAATTAAAAACCAACATGCAGATGGGGAAAATTATTCCTTTACATTTCCTGGGAGAAAACACTGTTCTCTCAAAAACAGAAATAATTCTCCATGGCTTCTTGCAATGCCATGTCTCAATGATAGGTAACCAGGAATGGCCTGCATTGTATGAGAAAAGACACTGCCAAGTCACCTACTACTTCTGTTCATGGATGTGACAAGGAAAGTTGTGATGCAAAGGTGGAACAGGGTGACCAGGCTGGCTGCATTGGACATAGAGGTGCCTGCCCTGGTAAGTGGAGAAAAACAGAAAAAAGTGTTAAAACATCAGGAGGAAGGATGGAGACAAGTTAGAAGAACCTGACCTGAGACGGAGGACAAGCTGGGGCAGAGTGAGTCAGGAGGCTTGGGAAGCCAAGGGTGAAGGAAAACTGCTCTGAAGTAGGAAAAAAAACAAAACAAAACACAAAAAAAACCCAACACAAGGCTAGGAGAGAGGAGCTGAGTACTGAGAGGGCAGCCTATGAGTACAGACCTGAGGAGGTGCCAGATATATCGCACCTGTGTGAGAAGGGTGCTCTCCTGAATACTGTCCCAAATAAAGGATTTCACGGGACTGCCTCAACTCCATCCCAGTCATCCACAAGGGCCAGATATTGGGGTTAATCAATTACCAGTACTATGTGGTACTAGGATTCATTTCATTCTTACTGGCCTATCACTGAAGCTGCAATGTCCCAACTCACACACAGCCTGAGCTGTGCCCTTTACTTCTTTATTTTATTTTCACTTGTGCCTCTCTTAAACCATCTCACGCCCTCCTCCTAATTCCCTTTCCCCTCTTTTTTGGACCTCATTTTTACATCAGTCTCCCTGGCGCTGCCAACCGACCATTCCAAATCCCCCTCTGCCCCGGGACAAAAGCTGCACAGATGTGGGAAGGGCTGGCACTGGGAAAGCTAACGGCACTGTCATCCTGGCCCAGCAGGGAGGCGGCTGTTTTACTCCGGGACAAGAGGCAGAGAAAGAAAAGGGGACCAAGGCGCAGAGAGAGAGAGGACAAAATAACCCAATAGAAATCCGGAAGGGAAATGCATGAGTGAGATTTCTATCAAGGAAAACAGCAGGGGAGGAAATAAAAACAAAAGATAGCAATGTGTGGAGAGGTGGAGGGAGGAAAAAAAAAAAAAAAGAAAGAGAGAGAAAGAGAGAGAGCAACTCAGGGGCTAAAGAATGGCAGGATGAGGTTGGGGAGGGGGGAGAAGTTCACATGAAAAGAGCTGAAAAGCATGACACACTGAGGGGAAGCCCAGCTGAGATCACTTTCTTTCCTTAACATCTCCGATAGACTGGCTGTGTAGAATTATTAGCTTTTTTCCTTCTCTCCTTCTGCACTCTTTCACTTCACCAAAACCCGTCTCCAGTTTCTCAGGAGGCAAAGCTGCCTGAGCTGGGGATGGGAGGTGGGAAGGGAAGGACTTGCTCAAAAGCAGCTGCCTTTTAGCTGAGTGCACTACAACATAAAGGAGAGACTAAATGACTATATTTCAGAGGCATTTCTAAAATATACAGCACCATGCAATCCAAAAGGCCTCCAGGCCCACAGCACACCCTGCCCTCTCCAATGGATATGGTTACAGCTACCCACAGAGACACACAGCTATTAACCCCTGCCAGTCCCTTGTCCTGTCAATTCCTCACAGAACCAGGGAAGAAGAGTATTTCTTTAAGCAGTAATGTCAGACACTATCAGCATTTCTGGGTGTTTATCTGTCAAAACCCTTTTTGTCTAATAACTTGATTGAGGTTGTTATGTGGGGAGAAAACTGGTTTTGGTTCCTTACCTTCAAAGAGGAAATATTTTAAAAATAATAGTAATCTGCAAAGTCTGAACTATTTCAAGCCTTTCTCCAAACCCACACCCCCATTTTTATCTGGTGTGAAGATTACCAGTGTCTGATTTTTACTGCGAGTGTCTTTTAGCCCAGAATTTCCACTACAACACAGAGGGTTGTCAGGTTATGGAAGCACATGTTCCATCCTACCTGTCTCTCAGCCATGTTGGCCTAAAATTTGTAAACTTGCAAATTTAAATAGACTATTATATACCTTGTGCCTTCTAGGAAAATGAAGCTGTTTTCCACTTAGGCACCTCAAATATATCCACCACCCTAAAACATTCTGCAAATCTAGGCATACTTGCAAATGCCAAGCAAACTCACTTTCCTTCAGTGTTGCTTTCTTATGGCTATTCAAACTTCATCCCTGATATACATATCTGTCACCACAAACTCCTAAGGCATCTTTCCTCTCTTCTGTTTAAAATTAAAATACCCTAGATGAACTAAAGAATTCTTGTTTGTCTTTTGAGCCTCCAGAGAAAAGGAGAAGACAAGGAGAAGGCAAACCTTGGAATGTCTTGTACACTGGTTATAAAGTATGAATAGTTCAAACTGCCAGATGAAGACTCCAAGCCAACTTTGTTTCTAAATATGGATGATTGATGATTTAGGAGGTCCTTTTTCCAACAGTTTCTTAAGCCTTCCATAATTCTGTTTGTGTTAAGCAAGTGAACAGTTAACTCGTCTCTAATGTGTAGGCATTAGGGTATGAGGCAGTTGCAGACTGCAGCAATAAACAGTTGTGGTTCTGATACCTACAGAGTTTGGCCCTCAATTTCAAGCTGTCTTCCTTAGCCCCAGTTGCAAAGAGATCTTAAAAGGTGACCCTTCTACTACAAGCAAAAGACCCCAGACTTAGAAAGGCAGCCTTGAACAACATACATATCTGTGTATCTGCCCTTCCTGCACAGGGGACAGAGAGAAGCTATTTTGCACAAAGAGCAGCAGCCAACACAACTGTTCCTGCAGCAATAAGCAGCTGTTGTCTTGACACCTACAACATGGGTGTTTCAGCTGCTATTCCAGGCTTGTGCTAGTCCACTGCTAAGTATCTGGCAACACTGCACAGCAGTCTCCTTGTGTGACTCATCATGGCTTTTTCTAATTTAAAAAGGGTTATTTTCCTCCCCTTAACATCTGAAATAATTTTGATCAAAACTACAAAATAACCTCTCTTATTAATGTACCCTGCATGTTTGTACAAAGCATAAAGCCACCTCAACAAAGGACAGCTCCAGCATCACTACTCCATTTCCCCATCTTTAGTGCTACAGGCTCTACTCCTGTATTGCATTTTATTCACCCCACTATTTTCACAACAGGCAGTTAAAATTCCTAGTACAGTGGGTTTTGCCTTGATTTATTCTGTTGTAGTATTTGAAAGATATTCAGAAGATTTTCCCTGTGTGATTAATAATAGGTTTTCTGTGCTGTATGCTGGAGGGTATTTTGTAGTGGGACTCCTGTTAATATTAACTATCTCCAGTCACATATGGGAAGCTGACAAACTACAGAGGAAGTGTGCCTGGGCAGAGGTAATTGCCAGAACAGGAGTAAGACTCATTTTTATCAAGGGTTGATATCAGCAGAAATGAGAATCTAGATACAGGGAAAGCCTTAGATTTTAATAGTATTAGATTGAGTCTTATACACTAATTAAAGTTGAGAAGATGCCAGATGCCAGAGAATGCAACAGAAAAACAAGGACATTATGATGATGATGATTCAGCAAGAGAGCTCATTTGTGACTGAGAAATGCCCTGGGTAGAAATGAGTTTCATTAATTGCTTGGTGGGAGAAGAGAGGAGGCCCCTATTAGAGCATTGTCCCATGCACTCTCCAATTCCCGGGGAATGTTAAACAAACAATGCATTTGGAGAATCCCAGAGGACATATGTCTGGAAGGCTGCAAAAGCTTCCTGCTGTCCCTGGGGATAGAGGGGGGAGGAGAGGAACTGAGTTGACATTTGCTCAACCTTCTGGTTTGTCTTTGTCTAACAGTCCGTAATCCCTCACATTTCTCTGTTCGCTTCAAAAATTCCCATGCTCACATCCTTAGCAGCTTAAACAATCTCATTTTAAACCTGCACCAAAGGAATGGCAACTGGGTCAGACTGTAAGTTAAGGTACATGTGCCTAAGAAAAGCCCTGGAGAGGCAGCCATGACAGTGAATGGGCACGGGTCACATGCCCTGTGAGAAGAGACCAGAGGCAGTAGGAAAGTAAAGCTAAATTGTGTCTGATTACAGAATCCAGAGGCATGTATAAGCTCTGTGACTAATGAAATAATCCAAAGGAGTTAAATAGAAAGTAGATGTAGCACTGGTAAGACTTGTTAAAACTTGTGAGAAAACTAGATACAAAGATAAATAGATATTTGGATATAAGGCCATCTACACTGTGACAATATTACTGTACCGCTCTCCTATAATTAGTGAACAAAAGTATGGCAGTTCAATAGGCAGAAACTCCTAAATGTGGCTGCCTCAAACATACATACACAAACAAGTTGCTGCATAACCTGTGTAAGCATGCCTGCAGTCTTGTTACTGACAAAATAAAAGAGCTGAAAGGAAAAAAAGGAAATTGCATGATCACAGCCCATACATATAAATAGAAAATGGAGATAAATTTTTATACTCAAGTGGTCTTGAATCTAACAGAGACATAGTATTGGCAGGTTGGAAGGGAAGCTAAGTGAATCCAGCCTGGAAATAAATGCACAGATTCCTAGCCAGTGTGTAACTAAATACTGAAATAATACCAATGGTTGGATGGGCTTTCCATTGCTGTAAATGTTTTAATGGAGATTAGATGCTTTCTACAACATATGCTCAAATTGAAAAGCAAATTAGTTCAGATGATTCCTATGCCAGAGGTTCTAACTAGAGCATTGCACTGCTTCTTCACAGTCGTGCAGTGGATGTAACTGTGAAACACCCATCCTCCTCACAAGCCACCTTTATTTTTTTTCCACACGTTTCCTTTATCTGAAGCCATCACTGTCATTACTGCCACATTCCTAGCATCCTGCTCACACATGCTGCAGGTGGACATTTTGCTGAGGGTGACTGCAGATGAGTGAGGGCACTTCCAGCCACACAGTGGGGTTTTACCTGACTTGGCTAAAAATCAGCTCTCTGTGGATTTGCCTGCTGTGACTCACCATGTTCCAGGATGTATTTCACGATCTCACCATGCCCAGTCTTGGCAGCATGGTGCAACAGGGAGCAGTGATCAGGTCCTTGGATTAACAAATTGGCTCCTTTTTTACAGCATTCTATGAACTGGAAAAAAACCAACAGAACAACAAACCAACACACAGAAGGATAAGATGAGAGGAGCAGAGAAACAATAAACAGGCAAATTATTTAAATTTATTTTTTTTTGGTAGGAGGTCAGTAAAAAATGGACAAAAATGAAATTAAATACTACTTTAAAGCCAGCTTTAAGGCCACAATGAAACAGAGTCTGAAACTAGAAGCACTGACAATTATATGGGTTAAGAAGAGCAGTTCTTATTTCCTAAACAATTAGACATTACACATATTCTGGCGATGAATTATTGCTTGGTAGCAGTGCTTGCAACACCACTTCTGGTGAAGTTGTTGGGATATTTGAAAATATATGTATTTGACAGAAAATTCTGGCTTCTTTACTGGAAATTCCATTTTTTCTAAGTGTGGGAGGTAAACACTTCCTGATTAAATCAGAAAACTCCAACTCAAAAATCCCCAGGAAAGTGGGGTTTGTTGCCCCAGATCTCCCTGACTGCCTCTGCCCAGGGCTGGTGGAAGGGGAAGGAAGCCCTGTGTAGAGCAAGAAGGAGAGGAAACCACAACCAGTCACATCCCAGAACTGCTGCACACTCAGAAGTAGTTTGCAGTGTAGATCATTGCAGAAAAGAGGGAGAGGATTGTGTCAATGGGGCATCATTTATGATGTGGTACATCTGAAGAAGAAGGACAGGATATTTCCCTATCAAAGCAAACTCAAGCCGTTTTCAAGAAGCAGAAAGGGAACAATATTTATATGACTTTAGGACTGCTAAGACTGCTCCCTAGATGCTGTAGCCACAAGTACAGGGGCAGAGGTATGGAAGGGGCACCTGCAGGCAAATTCTTGTTCTAACAGTACTGTCACTTTTACAAATGGCTCCAAGCTGGCTTCTTGCAGATAAAATTGCAATCATTAATCACAGCCCTCATCCAAATTTAAGGGAATGTGTTCAAATCCTGACTTGACTACTGAAAAAGGCAGCCTAAATAAATGACACTTCAGACACGGCACAAAACATTTTTGCATGGGTGCTTTTTCCTCCCAATAATTAAAAATACAAAGACACTACCTGTTTTGAGACACCCATCAGATGATAAAACACCAAGCTGAGGTTGGTTATACTTGGTCTGGTTGTTGCCTACATAGAAGTTAAAAAGTTTCTAGCAACTCTAGTGGCTTGGCCACCAACCATAAAATATCTTCTACTATGCAAGGATGTGTCAGAACTACCCTGCTGTTTGGTGTTGCATTTGTCAGTATAGTAATTTCCCTGTTAGTAACTGACACATTGCTGTATACAATGTACTATGAATTCTGGGCTGAAAGGTGCTAACACCATATCCTGTTCACTAAAACTTCACACCTCACCTGACTGATGTGTTCCTCTAATATTCAGAGTTTCCTGGAAAGGTTGTAAAATGGCACTTGTCAGCAGTCCCTACAGCAGTCTGTTTATGTTTTCAGCAGAGGTGTGAAAAAATTTACAGTATATCAGACCAGCAAAAAGCTGTGAAAAAGTGGACACACGGTACTCTGTACTCACCTTCAGCAGATCACCAGCTATGACTGCCTGTAAAAGTGCTGCAAAAGACAAACAACCAATGTTAGGCAGAAAGCATTATGTGTATAGCCTCACAGCTGAGAATATAGCTTACAGTATGTACAAGGTAACACCAATGCCTCAATCCACTTGCAATCTAATATATTATCAAAACCAATGCAAAGCCTTCAACTGGCAGGCAGACTGGCCATGTTGCCAGAAAGCTGCAAAGATATCAATCCAGCATTTCCAATGGCGCCCTAGAGCTACATGCTTCTGTCTGAATTTTTGCCTTAAGTTACTTTTCAAAAGCGTCCACAGGGTGGGCCCAAGTTTCTGGCACCTGAGCCATCACTGAAGACATCAATGTCATAAACAAAGAGAACCTGAAAGTATCCTCAGACCTCTCAGACTTTACTTACACTGATGACAGAGCAGTCAGTCAGTCTAAAATACGTTGACAGTCCCAAGTTGCAGATAATTAGGTAGCAAAATGGAAATTTCGTAATAGTGACCTGTATTACAAAGATATTTTTTCATGCCAGTGGGCAGCAAGTGCCCCAGGTTTGGCAAGCAGAGTCAAAAACAGAGCAGGAGCCAGTCCCCACCTTTTCAGCCCTTGTAATTTAGACAGACACAGAAGGAAAGAGAGACAAAGAGAGGCAAAGTGAGCAAAGGCTCGCAGAAAAGTAGGACAGAGCTGTGCACAGAGCCAGGAGCTGCTCACTACCCACTACTGACTGCCCTGTGCCAGTTAAATAAAAAGAAGGCAAAAGTCTGCGTCTCTGTCTTACCCTCTATATAGTCTGCAAGTCATCACAGACGTGGGAAGTTGTTAAAAAACATCTACTGATATGCAACTATTTCCTTCTTTTTACAACTTCTCCCTATCATTATATATATAGTAAAAACCCCAAATTATTAGTATCTTTCTGAGAAAGCATTTATTTGGCTTGCATCTTAGAAAACATTAAACATCTGCTTCAGTTTATACCTTTTCAAGAGTGCCTAAGCCCGTTTTTATCTTTAAGTCTCAGCAATGCAATCAAGTTAAGCATTTGCTCAAGTGCCATCCTTGATAAAGATGCCAAAAGCTCATGTTGGGAGGAACAAGAGGGAAAGAAAATTATAGTATAGTCTTGCCTCTGAAGAATAACACACAGGAAACTGCACACTGTGAATTCCACAAGGAGCTTGTCACTGCTTCAAAAATAACATACCGAAGCTAAACATTGCAGAAGAGGAAGGGCATGCAAAGACAACTCAACAAATGTCCCTTTCTTTGAAAATATCTGGGGTTGAGCATGGCCTTCTGATCTTAGAAATGCCTCATGCCCTGGCCAGGCAGCAGCAGGAAAAATAAAAACCCAGTCCAACTAAGTTCTTGGGAATGCAGTAGCAGAAATTCTTTTAACATTGGATTTAAGGCAGTTTTACAATGACCATGAGACATTAAGTGCTGCAAATCCCCAGCATCTTTGGGAATGAAGACACACAAATTCAAGGAATGGAAAAAGACAAACACCAGCAGATAAGAGCTGGACCTGGGAAAAAATACATGTACATCTCTGCTTCAGATATAATTTTCAGTTGTTTATGTCCTTTTTCCCCCAATAGTTCTCATACAGGTTCAGCAAAAATTAATAGCAGAGCAGAATTTAAACATTATGTAATTCATTTTATCTTCTTTCTCCTCTTCTCATCAATTCAGGTCCACTGACATATTTATCATGTGGTCTACTGCAGTCTGAACTTGTATAAATATTTTGATCCACTCACACATCTAAAAATCAAATCGACTGGTGACACCACCTTTCCATTGTCTTCTACATCCAATATTTTAAGACATCTTCCCTGAAGTTGCTTCCTTAGAGGCAAAGGTACATTTCCTTATGCAAATCATGCTTCAGTTTATAGTTTTGAAAAGCCAGAAGAGAGATCTAGAAAACTATGAAGCAAGAAGTAAAGCCTGGCAAGCCATGAGAAATCTTCTGCATTGAGTATCTGTAACCAGAAGTTGGTTTTTTGTTAAGGCTATTACGATAAAGAAGCCCTAAAACACATTCAACATAATTAGACCAGTCTTCTCCTCTCTTGGCTAAGCCTCCAATCCAGCAAAGTATTTCAGCAGGTGCTTAGCTTTGAGCTAATCACATTCTTTTCACCAACTCTACCTGCACACTTAAAATTAAGTGTTGTGCTAGAGTAGAACTTATTGCATAAATGAATACATTATAGATCAGCAAAACCAACTGGCTTAACAAGCAGATTAGACTACAGTAAACCAGTATGCTGGAAGACTTGGAAGCTATTGAACTAGAAATGGAGAAAGGTTTGTTAGAATAGGGAGCACATTTATATAAACATATAAATATTAGTCACGCTAATCCTATAAACCCAAATGGAACTACTAGGTGGATTAAGGAAGAGGGTGAAGATGGCTAAAATCACTTCGTTGTTAAAGAGGTGGTAAAACAAGCAAGCAGATGGCATTGACAAGAGGGAGCAGACTGAGAAATTGGACAAAAATGCTGCTAACTGCAATGCCAGGCTAGCTTAAAATTAAAGACATTAAAGTGAGAATGGTTCTTTTTTCTGAGCAACACTGCACCACTAGTAAAATACATAACATGAATTATGCAATTTTTTTATCATATTGTAAAATATCTTCAGGTCTTAAAGATGCCTCAAAATTACTTTATTTAATAAATATTTAACTCAAGTCATTATTTTGTCAACTTCTCCTAATGCAAGTGTATGTCATGACTAATAAAAATGTTTTACTATCTTTCTCATCTATTTAGCAAGCAGATTTATTGCTGATGAAAGGTGACAACTTGACAAGCCCAGAGACTGAAGGACTCTGCCCATATAACAAGGAAGCACTCAATTTTCCTCTTTGGTAGACTGCCCAAGCTACCTTCTTGTGAAGCTCAACTCCTTCCACTAGTACACCCCTGTGGGCAGTCCCTGCTCCAACCCTTCTTCATCGCACCTCTCTCTGCTGAAGCTGCCAGCAGATGTGTCAATCACTGCCCAGGGTGGTGGATCTTGACAGAAACAATTACCTGCTAGGACACAGACAGTCAGAAATGTCCATGTATGTAGCTGCTGCTAGAGACCTGCAACTTTTAGTTTCCACTGGATGAATTTTGAGATGAGGTTCTAACCACCCCTGTGGGCCAACTTACATACCTCATTTAAAAAAAAAAAAAAGATTCCTACACACACTCTGACCTTATAAATTAAATATTGACCAGCCTGCTAATTAAAACAGCACAGAAAAATCAGTCATTAAACTCTTGGAAAGAAATAACGAAGCAGTAAGGTATTTGTACCCAGTAACTTCAGAGGCTGCAAGATGCCTGGAAGGCCTCATGGGGCTGCCTGGATGGTCAGAAGAGAAAATAACCCTCCATGGAAAGCAACCTGGCAGCCCTGCAAGAGTTCCTGTTGTGCATCTCCCTCCATGGACTACAAAAGTTCTAGGAAAAATTACCTCCAGATTGCAGTACCTAAATTAATAACCAAACTAAGACAGAGAAAGTATCCTTCAGAATGAAGTGATGCCAGGAGACATGTCTGATCACCTGCAAGGGCAACTTAACAAGGGAAAAATGGGGGGTCCTCCTTCTAAGGGTTTCCAAGGTATGATACTCCTGGGATCAGGCAATGCCCATGGTCTCAGAAATTTTGAGAGCTCTTTGTATAATATACAAGTGCATCATGAGAACACCTCATAAACATAAGGGCTAACAAAGACAGACTTACGATTGCAACACAGAAGTCAGCACCACCATGTTCCTCATTTCAAAAGCAATGAAATTTCTGAAAAGCATAATGAGTAACAAAAACATCAACAAACAACTACCCCTTCCCATCTAACCTGCAGGAAAATTACCTCCTGATCCCAACGCTGTTGATCAGCTTAACATCAAGGACATAAACAGGGCTTGGCACCAGGCTAGTCAGACTGGAATTTTGCTGCTAAAACACTTTCCAAAAGAATATGGAGAGAAAAAAAAACAACGTATAAACCCCTACAGGTATCATCTCAGGATCACAAGGTTCTTTGTTGAAAGTAGGTTGACATGGAAGATATTTAGTAAATTAGTTAAATAACCATTTGTGAGACAGTGATTGGAGCTGGCTTTTACTGGAAAGAATCTCAAAGAACAGAACGGTTCTGCAGTCTGACACTGTCAGTGGTACAGGAGTAACATGTTGTTTTAAGTGAGTAAAAGTTATGCACAAACTATAAATATCTTCCATATTTTACTGGTCAGATTGCACACTGTTTCCATGCCATAGTTGCACCCTCTACTGCTACATAAATTAAGCCACAGTGAATGCTGATAAAAACGTATGGCTATTTTGAAGCTTTCACAATCTCCAGGCGATTCTTCAGTGAGGGTCTAAGAACTCTCCCTGGAGGGAGCAGAATTATTTAAATCTATGCTTTCAAGTATAAGTACCACATAAAGGAGTTGTCCTATCCATGACTAAAATGCAGCTGATTTGAGATCTATGAATTAAATGCAGCTGGAGACTAAAGGATTTTTTGCAATAATACATCTTACCATGGGTTAAAAAATACGAGGCTACCAAAGGATCTAATCAGTGTATTGCAATATTTAAGCATATGGGAAATTATGGTAGAATTCACCTACCGTAACTCCAACAGAATTAGGGCTCATAAAACATTCAGCTCTTTCAAAAGGTACAGTAAGGCAGCTGATGATCTGAAGTGACCATGATCCTGTAGACATTGCATTTATCAGGCAGTGCCTGCAATCATCCAGCCCTTTCTAAGCCACCGTTCAATGCAGTGATTCAGCACTTGGAACATGTATTTCAGTTCTGTATGTTTCTTACTGATTAGAAGCAGCTAACAAAAAATATTAAACATTAGAGCTTCGTTGTGAGGCCCACAGAATTTGACCCTTAGTATCCACCATCATCTCCTGCTAGGTTTCCTCAGGGGAACTCCTGAGAAACATCTCATGAAACACTGTCTCACTCAAACCTTGCTGAGTTGATA